CAAGGGGATGGAACCCGGAAGTCGGCAGCCGCCGAAGACACAGCGGGGATTGCGGACAAGGTAAGACCTGTACGCTGTATTCCCGAGTGTGGCTCGGGGTTACCGCTTTGTAGGCTTCATTAAATAGTCACGACTAGTACTAAGGAACTGTTTGTAGGGACTACCGAAAGGATTGATCTTGGGACACCCACTAATTGCCCGTCTCTTCTTGAACACTGGTCCTCAAGTGTCTTTGGCAAACAGCATTTAAATGGCTGACGGATGGTGCACTATTTTCCACAGGGCCGGTAAGTATTTTACAGCTTCTTTCACCATTTATGTTTACCTGAACATGACTGCCAGGATAGCTAGGGGTTGGGCATGGCCTTTAAGTACTCAACACATAGGGTACCAAAAGACTTAAGATGGCAGGGCCTGATCTGTCCATTTTTGGCTGGAATGGGTGAAAGTCTCATGCCTATCATGGATGGGCTTTCTATCCGTTGTTGGTGGCAAGGGGGGAATCAATAGGGCAGAATAGAAAACCTGACCCAATCACTATATTTTAAATTGAAAACAAAGCATTAGCTCCCACTCTCTCAGCAGCGTTAAACTACAAGAATTGCATGGTGGAACGACATTTGCTGAGTATTTGACCACTAAACGATCCTTCCCATTCAAAAGCACATAAACTAGCACCTGTCTTGACACATAATTTTAAGTATGGCAAGCACAGTTATTTATATCAGGGGAACAATATTTTATCAGCTGAAAATCAAACCAAGCCCATACCCGCACACCCAGTTTTCTGAATAGCATTTCTAAAGAGTTTGAGGGTCTATGTTCCTTTTTGCCTGGCAGGGCAGGCCACATCAGGCTGCAGTTCAATGCCTATGGACACTTCCAGAATGTCCTGCACAACCATTAGCGATTGTTTGCTCTAAGATAAGCTGCTGCTGGACTGTTGGTGTCTTGCGAATCTATGCTTTGCCATCCCTGCTCCATAGCTAAACAGGAACATTTGTGTAACCAGATCATTTCTGTTTATTGAAGAAGCTGTACCTGCAGATATTGAGATTGTCAGACTGTGAGGATTATTTACTTAAGGATTTGAGAATATTCACACAATAAATTGTGTGAATATTTACTTCAATTATCCAATTATGTGCAGATGAAATAAATATCTAGGATCTGCTATGCCCACCGGATAAAAAGGTGAGAAGCATGCAGGGAACAAAAGAGAAAGAGGAGGCAGGAGAGTCCTTCTTGTGTGGTATTGTAGTGAAAACACAAATCTGTGAATCTAATAGAGAGATAAAAGATGCAAAAAACTTACATCTGGGGAGGTTGCGGAGCTGATACTCTAAGGGTGGCCCTTCGGTTATGCTCATGGAACTTCAGAATGGTCAATTAGTATGAAAAGGAATACTGAAAAAACCCATGAGTAGCAGAGACACCGAATAGATGATAATGATCAGTCCAGGGAGGACATCAATTTCTTATTAAAATCTGAATTTAATTATCTGAATTTATGAGCATCCCTGCACGCTGCTGCGTTCGCTCTGCATATCAGCCTGCAAGCTAGTCTGTAGTCAAACCACTGGTCCGAAGAAGTGACAACTGGTCATGAAACACATTAAATTTTGATGTTTAACCACTTCAGTACAGATGTACATATATAAACTTCTGGAACTGAAGTGGTTAATACCAAAATCTGCAACAGCTGCAGCAGCTGTGATCTTACCGTAGTACCTTTTCTCTCAGCCACCACCCAGCTTTCACATACAAGTGCTCGGGCAGCCGTAGACTGTCCCCCACCTCCACCGCTTCTTCCGGCTCCCCCGAAAAGTGTCACTGGCTGCACTAGAAGGAGATCAGCACACTTAAGGTGCTCATACACTGTGCAAATTTCTGGCAGTTTTTGTCAGGGAACCAGGGGTGTCACCTCTTCTCGGGGCCGCCGGGTCTGGTGTAGTGCACGGGGGCTCCTTCGGCCTGGCAGAACTCCTGGTGCCAGGGGTGCAGGTGCGCATGCGTGAGATGTGCACTCGCATGGTACACGTGCACGGAGCGCGGGCGTAGCACGTCTGGGCCCATCAAGGCTGACAGGTGTGGGCCTTGCTGAGGGAGGTTCCCAGCACACACCTTTTCCCTCCCTCTCCTCCTGCCATTGGCTCCCGGACAGAGAAGCCTCCCGGTTGCCTGGACTGGACTTGACTACCTCTTTGGATTTGCCCTTTTGTATTTTTTCATAAACATAGCAATTTGATAAACTTCTGCACAAAGATAGTGCAACATACAAAATTAGATTCTTTTTTTATTCTACCGCACTTCTGCTTTTAAAAAAGATATAATTGTTTGGGGGCATTAAAACAGTTTTGTAGCCAAAAATTTAAGAATTCCTCTGTAAATCAAGTGGTTAAGAAATCAGCTTTTAAAAGAAAAATTACGCTGGCATGCTAGAATCAAAAGTCAGCTACAAGTACTGTAGCTGCTAACTTTTAATAAACACACTTACCAGCCCATGAAACCCAACACTGTCTTCTTCACACTTGAAGTCTTCGCAGCTTTATTTCTTACCTCACTGCCATCTTGGACTTATGAACTGACAGTCACTTTCTAACCACTCACAGTCAGCTGCACATTTACTAGATCACTACCTGCAGGGAGACTGTCCTGATGCCTCCTAGGATATGTGATGTGAATACCAGGAGACTGTGGGTTGAGGGCTAGGTCATCCTTGCCCAGACAAGGAACAAGGAAGTGGGACCAGCGAAAAAGATACTTGCTTCCCCAAAGAAAAACAAAAATCTGCAAGTTCCGCATTAATAAGAAATTGATGTTCTCTCTGAACTGATCAATATCACCTGGCACCTCTGCTACTCAACACATTTTTTTTTGGTACTGCTTTTCTTAGAAGAAAAAGGTAAACAGGCATTTTCTTTTTAAGTGATTGGACAATTTAAGTAAATCTTCACACAATTTATTGGTCATTTTCCTGGTCATTTTCTAGCTGTGGGATATATTTGCCAAAAAGCATAGGAAAGGGAATAACTGCTTGTCATTCACCTGACATTATACAACATGAAATCTCTGCAAATGATAACAAGTGCTTACTGATGCTTTTTCTTGGTTTAAAAGTCATTGCTGTTTGGAAGACTATAAAACCCCGGTCGTCATTTTTGGATCACCTTTTTACGCACTATTGGTCCAATTTCCCAATATAACGGCTAATAACTGTATGCAATAAATATTACATATGTAGCAGAGTATAGTCAATGCTCCTGTTTTTTCAAACACATTGATCTTGTTGGCAACCAAACATGAAAATCCAATGTAGGCTTTAAAAATTAAACATAGGATATAGAATATATACATATATAGAAGTGTAAAAAAAACAAAAACAAATCAAAGGAGGGACTTAATGTGGATTCTGGTTTTCTGACACACTACCGGAACTTTTTATGAATATACAGAACATCTTAATATTCATATATGTCGTATGCCTCTGATCTGTTTAGGTTTTATTGGTCATCCCATGTTTATTTGTTCTGTCTTTTGGTTATCAGGATGCATTATTTACTCCCAGGTCCATCATTTATGACACCCCACCCACTACCACCCCCCCCC